TTTGAGATGGAATCTTGCTCTGTTGCCAGTCTGGAGTGAAGTGGCACGATCTTGGCTCACCACAGCTTCCACCCCCCAGGTTCAAGCGATTCTCCTGTCTTGGCCTTGCGAGTAGCTGGGACTATAGGCATGTGCCACCATGCCTGGCTAATTTTCGTATTTTTAGTAGAGATGGGGTTTCACCACGTTGGCCAGGATGGTCTCTATCTCTTGATCTCGTGATCCACCTGCCTTGGCCTCCCAAAGTGCTGGGATTACAGGTGTGAGCCACCACACCCAGCCTAAACTGGATTTTTTTAAACAATATTTTTTTACCAGGTATGGTGGCTCACACCTGTAATCCCAACACTTTGGGAGGCTGAGGCTGGCAGATCACGAGGTCAGAAGTTCAAGGCCAGCCTGACCAACATGATGAAACCCCCGCCTCTACTAAAAAATACAAAAATATTAGCTGGGCATGGTGGCACACGCCTATAATCCCAGCTACTCAGGAGGCTCAGGCAGGAGAATCGCTTGAACTTAGGAGGCAGAGGTTGCAGTGAGCAGAGATCATGCCACTGTACTCCAGCCTGCGCGACAGAGTGAGACTCCAGCTAAAAAAAACAAAAAACAAAACAAAACATTATTTTTTCTACTTACAGTGAACCTGCCTAACAGTGAATTCTTTTTTAAAGAGATGAGGTCTCACTACATGGCCCAGGCGCTTTAGCTAGAACGTACAGGTTACTCACAAGCGTGGTCATTACACACTGCAGGCTCGGGCTCCTGGGCTCAAGCAGTTCTCCCACCTCAGCAACCCAAGTAACTGGGAGGCTTATGCAATCGCACCTGGTGCATATGCAACTGCATTGGCAAATGGGCATTTCAGACTGAGCTCTTCCAAGTGCTTATAAAATACAAATCCACGTAGACAATCACAGAAAGTGAGAGCTAGAAGAATCTTTGGATATCATCTCGTCTAACTTCTTTGTTTTACAAATGGGAAATTGAAGCACCAGGAAGTGAAGAGACTTTCCCAAGGTCACCCAAGTTAACAAGTGGTAGGGCCACAACTAGAATTCACACCTCTTGAGTTCCATTTAAGGATTTCGCACACTGCAATACTTTCCTCCATAAGGGAAGACATGGTTGTTCCTCTTAGCATATAGGCAGACAAAGTCAGGTATAGAGAAACTGACTTAAAGTCCTATAAAACTGAAACGTGACTGAGTTAAGGATACTGTCCCATTAATGCTCATTTTCAAATATACCCATCTCTTGATTGATGTAACATTTAGTTTCCCAAAAAGTAAAAGATTTCAAAAATTGTACGTCAAAATACTCTCATAAGAAATAAAAAGCCAAAAGCGAATTTTTTAAAAGTCATGCCCCTTTTTGTCATATCACATTAACAGTTAAAAAAACCTTGCTTAGAAATGCAGTTTATGTGTAGGAAGCAACTTAATATAGTGGAATAAGCTAAACCTCATTCTAAAATCAACTCAGTCGTATGGCTTTGTGCAAGTGTGGGCAGGGCTCCAAGGCCTTAATCCTATGAAAGATACACAAAAGTTCTCTGGAAAGAAGGCCTCTGGCTTCTGCTGTGTTCTCAGTCAACAGAGCCATACAAAATAGGAGAGAAGTTCAGAGGTTCTCTTACCGGGGGCCAGCAGTCGCCTCCTCAGGGTATCCTTGCCCTCTTGCCCTACACTGGAATGACCGGGACTCTGGGCTTCCTGGGAGTCTGCAGCAGGTGGTTCCTGAGATGCTCCCATTCCGTCAGTCACTTCCGTAGGGAGGGCTGCAGAGCTGCTCCCTAAGTGTGCATCTGCTCGTCCTAACTTGTCACTTGGAGAATGGCTGGGGTCTGGATCCAAGGGTTCTTCACTCAGACTTTCTGAAGGGAGGTGATGCCCTTTTTCACCATCCAGAAAACTCTGGCTGTTCTCATGTTCTGTTTGATCCTTTGGATGTTTCCGCACATTTGCTTCATCTGGACTTTCTGATTTATCACCTGTATCTACACTTTCTGGACCTATTGTCTCTATGTCTTGGTGGCCTTTGCTAAGACCAGCGGCAGGGTGTAGGGTCTGAGCTTCTTCAGCAGTACTTGGTATGATTGTGGTCTCTTGTGCCTGAGGATTTATTGATGGATCACTTTCCAAATCCTTTTGAGAGTCTATTGAGATAAAAATTTATAATTCTTATTGGAAAAAATTCCCCATAAATTCATATTTTAACGATGTCTCTGTTTAATAATAATACTTATATAGATTTTCATGGTTTACAAGACATTCTTCCTAAACGTTATTTCTGTTGGCTCCCACTAAAGATGATTTAAACAACAACAAAAATTTGTCAATAAATCTAAAGTAACACTAATATAAAACAATTTGTATGACCAACAGATTGTTAGAACCAACTTTTGGTTATATTAAATATATCTTCTTCCCTAATGAAAGGCAGTGCCCATCAATGGTAGCTAAAACTTTACACAAAAGGCTGATGGGAACTTTTACAGTGTATGAGCCAGACTGACAACTGCTGAACCCAGTGACCAATCTTCACATCACGAAAACGGGGAAACCCAAACAGATCATTCACCTCCTAATACGACGCAGTAGGAAGTACTCTAGACCACCTAGGAAGTATTCTTGCCAAATAACTGAACTGAAATCTGATCGAGCTTCTAGAGCTACCAGTTTCTAAGAAATATAGGGATAGAGGAATATATTAAATTATGCCTCAAGAATATAATCAGCAAAATGCAGGATGGGAGAAATTCCAAAAGACATTTCTTTAATAACAGTAAGAAATTAAATGGCAAAAAAAGGGGAAAAAAGGAGTCTCTTAACTTACTAAGAGACTTAAGAGACCATCAACCAAATACAATATGTGAACCACAATGTCTAGATCCAGTTTCGAATAAGCCAATCATTAAAGAAATATTTATGACACAATCAGCAATATCTGAATGCCAGATATTTGATGACACTAGGAATTATAATTCATCTTTTTAGGTGTGATAAAGGTATTGTAATTACATTTTTTACAAAGAATCATTATCGGCCGGGTGTAGTGGCTCACACCTGTAATCCCAGCACTTTACGAGGCTGAGGGGGGCAGATCACGAGGTCAGCAGTTCGAGACCAGCCTGGCCAACGTGGTGAAACCCTGTCTCTACTAATAATACAAAAATCAGCCAGGAGTGGTGGCGCATGCCTGTAGTCCCAGCTACTCAGGAGGCTGAGGCAGAAGAATCGCTTAAACCTGGGAGGCAGAAGTTGCAGTGAGTTGAGATTGCACCATTGCACTCCAGCCTGGGTGACAGAAAGAAAAAAAAAAGAAGAAAATCCCTTCTAAATATAGCACATCATGGGATATGTATATAACTCTAAAGATTTATTTACCATCATTTTTTAAAGATGCATTGTATTTTTCCATTACTATAAGTCCCTACTGTTGGAGTCTCTAAAACATTTATCTTCCTTATAATTAGGGTCTCACATTATGGTAAAGTTCAGTAAATCTGAAAGAATAACTATAATCAAAGCAAATGAATCCACTGAATTAGCTTTTTTACTTTAAAACTTCAGGTTTCAGTCATCAGAGATTTTCTCTCTGCATACCCTAGTTTCCTACAGCAGCACCCTCAGTGCTGGACAGATCAGTCTTACCCTCTTGAGGCTCCCTAAGTCCGCTGTCAGCCATGTTTGTGTTCTCTCTCTCCAGAGTTGGGGGGATACTTTTTTTAGTGCTTGGTTTTCCTTGTGAAGATGTCTTGTTTTCTTCTTGTCCCAAGTCCCAACAGACTCATGCTTCCCATGGACCCAGGAAATAAGGCATATATACAGTGACTAAAACAAAATGAAAAAAATTAAATGACTTTTTATCCATACGAAGGAGAAATGCAAATATCAGCTTTATTTATTAAATATGTTTAGTTTGAGTAACATGTCCTCTCTGAAACTTTTTTTGTGACGAAAAGTTCCTTTCATGAGAATCACACTCCAAATCCTAGACTATTAAAGCTCCAGATTATTAATCTTTCATCAGTATCATAATCTCCTAATACATTCCAGCATAGTTGAAAGAGTATAAAAAGTAAGACCAAGTGACCAGAATCTTCAAGAGAATAGCTTGAACTAAAATAAAAAATAAATCTAAGAGTAGAAATTTAAGTCACTGCTGAAACAATCACTGCAGATTTCCTGGAGGCCTTCAATTTCTGTCCCAGATACTTTCTCATAGTCTGCCTATCAGAAGGTTTCACTTATATTAAAAAGTAACAACACAAGAGGTTCCCACAAACTGAGATGGCTGCTTTGAGGTACCGCTACACATTTGCACTGACTTTGGTTTTCTTGAGGTATTGTTTTGTAAAACATGGAGAGAGATACCCCTTCATTCAGTGCCTTTTTATGCAATGCTCAAAGACAGATAAAGAAAATTATTTTTATACAAAAGGAATCAAAATCATTTTATAGGCAATAAAACTTATATTTTATAGTTAATTCTTATTTTTTGTCAAAAACAAATAGATCAGTAAAGTTACTTCACATTCATTGCCTATAAAAATGAGAGTAATGATATCTATGAGGCTTAAATACAAAAATATTTATGAAAAAACTTTGTGAAGTGTTAAGAGTTTTTTTGACAGCCTAGTTGGAAGGCTAGCCAACTGGCTGTCTTTCTGTTTTACTCAGCACTTTTTTGTAAAATTTAATTTTACAGATTAAAAACTTCAATCCCCAATGCCTACAAGGTGCCTAATGTATAATAAGAACTCCATATTTTAACTTAAAATCATGTGAAAAAAAATAAATGAATGTATAAATAAAGAATGATGCCACAGATAAACTGGAAGGAAAGAGAAGAGTAGGGACAGACCCTTCTTTCTGCTGGTGTAAACACTTAGCAAAGTGTCTCAGATTCGGAGGGTTCCTTGTCACCTCTTTTACGTTCTTCAAGCTCTTGGGATTGGGCTTTCAAGCCATCATATGTTGCAGTGAAGGTTTCTCTCCTATCCTAGCTCATGATAGAAAAGAAAAAGTCCCCAGTACTTTTCAAGTTTTGTTAAAAAATTTTTCCCTGCCAGCCAAAACCAAGAAAATAGGTTAAAAGTTTCCTATGTACAAGTAACAAAAATTTTCAAAAGCAAAGATGCTACTCACAATAACCATAAGGAATCTGAAATAAAAACTAAAAGATATCTGGTAATAAATCTAACAAGAGATATACAAGATCTTTAGACAGTGGTGAATTTTACGGTTTGTAAATTATACCTCAATAAAGCTGTTTCTTTAAAACACAACTTTAGAGAGAAAAATATAAAACTTAATTCAAGTATATAAAAAAGAGATAACAGAAAAATATATCACACATAGACAATAAGACTCAAAACCATTGATGCCAATTTTCTCCAAATTAATCTACAAAAGTATGCAATTTGAAACAAAATCTCAAGTTTTTTTCTATTATTACTGTTAGTTTCTAGTAAAATGGAAAAGCTGATCCTAAAATTCACAAAGAGCAGCAAAAGATCAAGAAGAGTCAGCATAATTCTGAAGAGGTGGGGCAATCAGCTATCAAAACTTCTTTAAACCTAAAGTAGGCTGGGCACAGTGGCTCACACCTGTATTCCCTGCACTTTGGGAGGCCAAGGTGAGCAGATCACCTGAGGATCAGGAGTTCGAGACCAGCCTGACCAACATGGTGAAACTCCGTCTCTACTAAAAATACAAAAATTAGCTGGGCATGGTGGCACATGCCTGTAATCCCAACTACTCAGGAGGCTGAGGCAGAAGAATCATTTGATCCCAGGAAATGGAGGTTGCAGTGAGCCAAGATCATACCACTGCACTCCAGCCTGGGTGACAGAGCAAGATTCTGTATTTAAAAAAAAAAAAAAAATTGTTTGGGAACAACTGACTATTCAAATGGAGGGAAAATTTCTGTCTCCTACCTCATACAAAAATCAAGTCCAGATTAAAGACCTAAATGTAAAAAACAAAACTTTTAAACTTTGAGAAGAAAATATAAAATATCTTTATAACTGCAAGGGTTTCCTAAATAAGATATACAATATACAAACCAGAAAGGGAAATTTCACAAATTTCAATACATTACAAAATTTTTAATTTCTACACAAGATATCGAAATTAAAAATCTCTGACTAGAAAAATATCTGCAACACATACAACCAGTAAGGAATTAAAATCGAGAACACATAAAGAATTCCACAAATCAGTAAAAGACAAATAATGCTATGAAAAAGTGAGTGAAAGGGTTGAAGAAGCAGTTCAACAAACAGGAAATATAAAAACCTAATGAATATGTAAAAAGAGTAGTCAAGGAAATATAAAAAATAAATTAATGGTGAGATAACATTTCACACCAGCAGACTGGTAAAAAGCTAAGTCAGACAATATCATATGTTGATGAGGATTTAGAGATACAGAGAGCTCTTAAACCCTAATGGCAATGAAGTAAACTGCTACTACAACTTTAGAGAGAAATATGGCAAGGAAAATTAAGGCACACATATTCTACAAATCGGCAACTCCATTTTTAGATGTATAATAGAGAAACTCATTCACATGCCCCAAAACATCCATTGCTGTATTGTTTAAAATGAGGAAAAATGAGAAAATCTAAATGTTCATTAATAAGAAAGTGGGTTTAAAAAATTGTGTCATATTCTTACAATGTAATATTATACACAGCAATTAAAATGAATTAGATTATCTTTAAAAGTTGTAAAATTACAGCACTGAAGCACTTATGACAAGGTGACAAGGCACAGTGGCTCACACCTGTAATACCAGCATTTTGACAGGCCAAGGCAGACAGATGGGTGGAGCTTAGGAGTTCAAGACAAGCCTTGGCCAGGCATGGTGGCTCACGCCTGTAATGCCAACACTTTGGGAGGCCGAGGTGGGTGGATCACGAGGGCAGGAGATCGAGACCATCTTGACCAACATGGTGAAACCCCCATCTCTTCTAAAAATATTAAAAAATTAGCCAGGCAGGGTGGCGTGCGCTTGTAGTCCCAGCTACTCAAGAGGGTGAGGCAGAATAAGTGCTTGAACCCGGGAGGCAGAGGTTGCAGTGAGCCGAGATCATCCCAGCCTGGGCGACAGAGTAAGACTCCATCTCAAAAAACAAAACAAAACAAACAAAAAAACCCAGCCTGGACAACATGGTGACAACGTCTCTACAAAACAATATACAAAAACTAGCCAGGTGTGGTGGTGCATACCTGTAGTCCCAGCTGCTGAGGCAGGAGGATCACTTGAGCCCTGGAGGCAGAGGTTGCAGTGAGCCAAGATTGCACCATTGCAAGCCAGCCTGGGCTAAGAGCAAAACTCTGTCTCAAAAAAAAAAAAAAAAGTGTTTCACATCTTTACTAAGGTGGTGGTTCCCTTTGTTATCAAACTTAAAATTGTATGTGACATAAATTATCCTCAATAAACTTTATTGCAAACAGAGCTGAAGGCTTTCAAAAATATATTACTTGGTAACTAGGTTGCAGTCCAAAAGAATCTGCAAAGGCACCACAGGTATTTCTATAATCTTATAAATGCTTGACATACACCATTCCTGTCACAAAGCACACATAGACCCTAAGCCCATTTTATTCAGACCTTTTGTAACGTATCATCACTGTTCAGTGTTGAAATAGCATTCCCTCACAGTGCAAGTGGGACAAACAAGAAGTTCTTGACAAAGCCTCAGAAAAGGTCACATGGCAGGGTATCTGAGAGATCTGGAGGCACTGTTCCAGTGGCAGGTCAATCTTTTTTTTTTTTTTTTTTTTTTTTCAAGACAATGCCTCAGCCTTCGTAACGGGGACTGCAGGTGTGCACACCATGCTTAGCTAATTTCTGTTATTTTTCGCATAGACAGGGTCTCACCATGTGGCCAGGCTGGTTTCCAACTCCTGGCCTCAAATGATCGCCCACCTTAGCCTCATAAAATGCTGGGATTACAGGCATGAGCCACTGCGCCCAGCCAGGCAGGTCAATCTTTTGAACAGTATCTGACCCCTATCAGGGTATGTGTTCATTATGAACCTCTGGACTGCATAATGGAAGTGAGGCAGAGCCTCATCCTGATGGAAAATGGGGTAGTTGGAGACTTGCTATAGCTGTAGGGAAAACCCCTCCATAAGCATGCTGAAAAATAAATACTTTTGATAGTATCTTCTACAACAAGGAACTGATAAGACCTATGTGCTTCATACAGCAATGAAAGACATTTACTCTGAGTGAATCCCTTGCAAGTTCAATTGTGACATGTTGGTGTTCAGTGCTCTATACATGGAAGTGATAATTTTCATATTTCTACTTAAATAAAATGTAGCCTCATCACTGACAGACATTTCCACTTCCCTGTGACCCTGAAATCTGCAGCAAAACTTGCATTATTTTGCTTTGTCTCCATCAGGGCTTGTAACAGGTTAAGGCTGTAAGGTTTTGTTCTCCATTTTTGAAGAACCTATTAGATGGTCGGCTGAGGGATGCCTTGCTTAATTTCTATCTCCTGGGAATTCTCTAGGAGGGACACAGATTTGCCTCACTGCTTCTTCTGTAAAGTGGCTACCCTGTGCTCTGTCTTTTAAGATGCAACCTTTTCTGCTTCATCTCACTATAAAATGGTAAATGCTTTGACTACCCAGTAGGTGCCATTGTGTGGTATACCAAATGACTTTTGCACTGAAGTTGCATAACCAGGCCTAGAAGACTCCAACATACAAAATTAAGTGCTATAAGGCTAACTACAATTCAATACCTATTACATGTTTATAAATAAATTTGGGTCAGGCATGGTGGCTCATGCATGTAAGCTAGGATGT